TGAAAGCTCTTGATGAGTATAACATTGGGATGAGCTTATAGTCAATAGTTAAAAAAATACAGTGAAATTTAACTAAAGTCATCATTTAATAAAGCAAAATTTTATTTATTTATAGTTCACAATTCACATAGTGACTGCAAGGTTGCTAGTAAATTTTAATCAAAAACTTCATCAATAAAGCTTCAATTATTTTTTAAAATGACAAATTACTTATTGTTTCATCTAATGGATAAAATTTTACGTTTGCATTAATTTGAAATTTTCAATAATTAATTTCTTAAAAAAACTATTGTCAGACGTCTTTCAAAATGTAAACAGCTGTAAAATTTTGATACAAGTTAATAATAAAACAATTAATCCCCGTCGGAGCCGTGGTAGATGAATGATGGTGGCAATAATTGATGTAATAATTATCGGTATGCTTAATAGCGACTGAAGAAGGTACGTCAGTAATCGGCATCAATTATCCTTCGGACATTGACCGAGCTACTGAGCGGAACTTCTCACTCGATCTCGGTGGAGCGATCAGTGGTGTAGTTATAGTTACTATTAACGTGTATAGTTTAGCTACAGGGACCAGGGGGACGGGAGAAGGGAGAAGGAATATAACAGAAGCACATTACATCCCTTGAGGGTGTTCGCTGGTGTCTAAGATGAGGCAATATCTCGAAATTCATGGTATCTAGCCTACTTCAAGACGACTACGACGGATGGATCAAATTATTCGCGGCAAGATGATCTCAATTAAGTACGGCACGGTCTAATCTGATGGGCGATACGTTCATTTAATCTGATTGCTCCTGGAATGGCTCACTAGTTATACACACCTTCTTACTGTTGCTAAATTTTATTTATCTCCAAAAAGAGTAAAAAGGATTTGAATAATTTTTTGAATTTTTAAATTTAATTTTGAATTGAGCAAAAATTGAAATAAAAATAAAATTTTATTGATTGATGAGAAAAAAATTTTTAAAATGTATTTTTATTTAAAAATTTTATATTCGTGATTTGAATAAGAATTTTTTTCAATTTATTTTTTTTATTTAATTTTTTAAATTTCAAAACTAGAAAAAAATTTTAAATACAATATTTTTTTTAATCTCGTATAAAAAATTCAAAAAATTATATATATTATTAAAAGAATAAGAAAAATTTTGTCTCCAGGATAGTTATATGATAAAATCGGTTTATTTAGTGAAACTTAGTGTCATTGCAAAGCTCTTGACTTGAATCTGTGCCTTTTCATATCATTCTCACCGATCGTCAATTTATGATGATAAGTATTGACCTTTTTAAAGATATAAGCTCACACCTCCATTACAGTCATTGAGACCTTTCATTTGAATACCCACATGAATTTTTGATATATTTTATATATTTATATATATGTATATATGAAAAATATATCAAAATGCATGTGGGTACTCCAATGAAAGCTCTTGATGAGAGTACCATCGGGATAAGCTTATATCTTTAAAAACGTCAATATTTAAGAAAGTAAACTGCAATTTAACATAATTAAGAAATGACCTTGTATCTTGTGAACTATTGACATTTTTAAAGATATAAGTTCACCCCGACATTATACTCATTGAGACCTTTCATTTGAGTGCCCACATCAATTTTTCATATATGCAATTTAACAAAAGTCATTATTTAATAAAGCAAAATTTTATTTATTTATGATTCACAAGTCACGGAAGTCACATAGTGACTGCAAGGTTGCTAATTTTTTTTTTAATCATTTAGAACAAATGTCCTTTTATAAAAAAAAATAAATTGAAAGAACTAAGCTAGGACTCGAACCTAGTTTTTCACAATTGCATATCGAGTTGTCTACAAATTGAATTCTTAAAAAGAAAAAAAAAACTTAATAAAAATGGCCGACAGAAAAAAGTACAAAGCACACAATTTTGTTGTGATGGCATCATCGAACAGAAAGTTCCATTACTCTCTGTTGAACTCTCGGATCATTCCTCGGTTCTTACTCGAACTTCTCTAGTTGACTTTCCTCTTAAGCTCTAGTAAACCCTCGGGGAAATGAACGTCGAACGATCAACGGGAAACGACAAATGACGAACGATTAACGGAGCAACCAACAAAGTACAACGATCAAGGAGTTTTAGGCACGATGTCTTACTACTTTAGTACAACTAGCAGCTAGCAGCTACCAACTACCATCTATACCATTTACCACCAGCTACTTACTATTATCGTCTAAGGAATTTATAAAGGATGAAAATCGAGACTTTTAAAGTTAAGTATTAAAAGGTATATAACCTCTAACGACTGAGCTGAGCTTTTCTTCCCTTCTCTTTAGTGTTATATATTATGAGCATATATGGAATATCTGGACTATAAAATATACATCACCATTAGACTTTATCGAAAATTTAACCTCGTCCATGCAAACTCATTAAACGTTATCCAAAGTGCAAATGGCCGTGCATAATTATTACAATATTATGCCGTTAAATTATAATTACAATTTAGAGAAAAAAAGTCAATACTTTTTTCAGCGTTGGAGCTTGAATTATTTATAGGAACGCCGGTTAAAATATAAATATAAAAAAAACAGCTAAATTATTTCGCCAGATCAATGAAACACATGTTACGTCACAGCCCCTCGTTAATTTTTGAACCACCGTGTCTGCGCTACAGGGTAAGAATTAAAGGTTAGAAAGCAAGAATATTACGTAACCGATTTTAATGATATTGGGTTAAAAAATTTGCAGTGAATTAATTATTATTAGTTTAAATTTTTAGCATGACCAAGAAGTTTATTTTAAGAATTTTATAAAAATAATTCAATTTATACAATTGTATAAAAAGTTTTATTATTGCTAACTTTTTAACTATAGAATAAACACATTAAAAATTTATAAGAAATATATCGATGAAAATATAACAAACATTTATTTCTAACTGTATAATATATTTACTAGCAACCTTGCACTCCCTATGTGACTGCTGTGACTTGGGAACTATAAATAAATGAAATTTTGATTTATTAAATAATGACTTTTGTCAAATTGCACTGTAATTTCTTAACTATTGACTTTTTTAAAGATATAAGCTCATCCCGATGTTACACTCATCAAGAGCTTTCATTTGAGTACCCACATGCATTTTCATATATTTTTCATATATACATATATATAATATATATAAATATATGAAAAATTGATGTGGGTACTAAAATGAGAGGTCTCGATGAGTGTAATGTCGGGGTGAGCTTATATCTTAAAAAATGTCAATAGTTCACAAGATATTTGATAAAATGCCCTGTACTGTCTTAAATATTGACATTTTTAAAGATATAAGCTCATCTCGAGGTTACACTCATTAAGAGCTTTCATTTGAATACCCACATGAATTTTGATATATTTTTCATATATACATATATATAATATATATAAATATATGAAAAAATGATGTGGGTACTTAAATGAAAGGTCTTGATGAGTGTAACATCAGGATGAGCTTATATCTTTAAAAATGTCAATAGTTCACGAGATACAAGGTCATTTCTCAATTATGTATCTAGAGATAGAGCATTTTCGAATGCAGCCTAAATACTTATCATCATAATTTGACTATTGGTGAGAATGATACGAAACCATGAAAAGGCACAACTCCAAGTCAAGACTTTTTCAATGATACTAAATTTAACTATAAAAAAAGGCCATTCGGCAGCCAAAATGGAAGTAGATTTCATGATGAAAAGAATTAAAAACAACTAAGATTATAAAAAAAAAAATTAATAACGTTCAATAAAAACAAAGAAGAATTATTGTACTTCAGTACTTTTCAGTCAGTTCTGTATAGACAAAACGACTGCAAGAGTAAAATTTCTTAAAAATGATCCTAAGATGGATATTTTTTCCTTTAGAAAAAAATGTGAGCACATAAATTGAAGCTTAATTTCTCAGCTTTCAGATGCATTTTACAGAAATCGAATAACTCGACGCGTTCAAAAGTTATTTGAAGGAGAAGTAGTGAAAGTATCAAATTTTCAAAATTTCAAAATTTTTAACTGGTGTAATTTCTAAACTATTTGACCGATTAAGCTCATATTTGAATTTGACCTTCCTAATAGTCGATAGAATAAGTATGGTGAGTGTCATTAAGATCCCTTAAGAATTGTTGACGCTATCGTCGTGACAAGCCGCGTTATATCATATATATATATTATATATATATATAAACTTTTGAACCATATGTATTTTCTGACTCAGATTGTCAAATTAGGTCGAAATATAGTAAAATTAACGGAAAATTACGTCATGAGGACAAATACAATAGTTAGATTTTTATAAAATCTACTAAAACCCATTTTATCATATAAATACACTGGCCACAAAATTATGCTTATTTCTCTTAATAATTGTAATTTTTAAAAAGCTTTTTTATATTTTTAATGTATTTGAATTGTAGATTAATTTGTAAAGTTTATAAAAACAATTGAATGCATTTTTTATCATAAATTATTTTGATGGAGATAATTAATAAAATAATTATTTGAAATAATATTTACTGTAAAAAATAATAAAAAAAAATTCAATTTTTCATCCACAGTAATTTACAATACTGACATCTTTTTAACTTTGAATTTAATTAGTCGTAAAAATATGACTCAAGAATAAAAATAAGAATAAGTAAGCATTATTTTGAGGAGATGATGGTGCAGTTTTTTGTTCCGTCGAGCCAAAGCGGATTAAAATTGACAACACGACTCGCGACTAAAATTATCAATCTAGTTTATTGCTTACGCGAAAGTCCACTGAGTTTTACGAGTCTGTCTATCAAATGTATTGTATATAAATATATCCATTATATAAGGTGCACATTATAAATGGTAAGTTTATAGCGGCGGTGGGTAGTGGTGAATTGTGTCGGTTAGTTATTACTCTTCGTTCTTTTCTTAACGTAAAAAACTTTCATACTTTATGTACTGTTTTATATTTTTTACAGCTTTTTTGTGTAAAGTATAAAATTTACTTCTTTATAAAAATATATATATTTATTAAAGTAATGTGTTACAGGTGCATAAAGGCAAAAAATTATCAAAAAACCCAACAGAGTTTCCCTGACAAATGACATAAAGCATGAGAATATTTTAGTATATATTAAAGTATTAACTCAAAAAAACCCTCAAGTACAAGTACAAGTTTGTATGTTTCTCAGGGAATGGCTAGGCGCAAAGTAGGGCAAAGGCTCTTCAGAATAGGTCTTAAAAAATCGTTAAAAAGTGAGTTAAATTATAAGTTACAAGGGTCGGCTGGAAAATTTAAACTATCAAAATTAAACCGTAATTACTAACAATGAAGTTGTAGAAATAAACACATTAACTTTTGATTTACAGAAAATGCATTAAAAATAAATTAGCTTGGTTCAATAATAAAAATTTTTCAACTGAGGAATTTTTCTTTGTTTTAGTTCATTTTACTAGGTAAAAGAATTTTCCTGCTTGATTTTAAAAGTAATTTTTTCAATTTAAAAATTTTTTTAAATAAAGCTGAAAAATTCTTGAAGCAAAAAGTTTTTTTCAATTTAAGTAAATTTTATTTTATTAAAACATTTTCTGGCTTAATTTTTAATAAAAAATGTTGATAGCTCTTTTGCCTTTAAAAGTTGGAAAAAATGTTGACTCTCATGTTTTTTGATAAAATTTCTATTTTATCTTTTTTTGATGTTTTTTTTTTTTTAAAAGTACATAAAAAACGAACAATTTAAAAAAAAAAGTTGAAGTCTCACAATTTTCTAAATGATAATCAAATTTTTTTTTTAAATTGTTCATTTTTTTATGTATTTTTAAAAAAAAAAAATATATCAATAAAATCAAATAGAAATTTCGTTAAAAAAAATGAAAATTACAATGGTTGACCGGACTTGTAAATATTTACCAAATTTTTTCAAAAAGATTTTCTTTAAGAATTTTTCTCTTAAAATAAGTTTTTTTTTTTTTTTCAAATGTAAATACTTTTTCTAAAAACTAATTTAATTTAAAATCTAGCTGAAAAATTTTCAACAAAAAAATTTCCCAATTTTTTTCCTAAAAAACTCACAAAATTCCCCACAAAATAATAAAAAAAAATCTCACCTTGCAATGTGTGCAGTTGTGAATGACCGAGTACTGCTGAGCGCAATCGTACCGAGCAAGGACCTCGCCGAATTCGCAGTGAAGCCTCGCAGCAAGCGCGTCGACACTGAGAAGTTTGTCCAGTGCATTAACGCATTTGCGTCCACCATTAAGCACGTCCTCAAGAGGGCCCCCTTTCCCAGGTGCCAAAGCATTGACAGCCGCGTGCTCACAACAATGACGTAACCGTAAGCCACTGACAAACCAATACCGGTTCTCCTTGGGGGTTAAAAAACTCAAAGAGTCCGATCTCGCGAAATCCTCCCGACAGATATCTTCCTTGTGCGACTCCTCGAGGTAAAAAAGGCACTGATCCGGAGCCGCTGAATTACCACTGGCTGACGATGACGATGACAATGAAGATGACTCTGAAGATGAAGATGACAACAATAGTGGCTTCCATTTCCCGTAAGTCTTCGCATTTCCAGTTCTCGAGCGCTCCGGGACGTGGAGCCGCTGCACGGCCTCAAGGAAAATTTTCTTAGCGTCGCCCTGGCCTTTGCAGGGCATCGGGCAGTACTTTGGCACTTCAGGTGGTCCGCAGGTGCCCTGAAGATCGGCCGGCGCTGGACCCGCCAGGTCGCAGGCCGAAAGCCAAGGGTTTATCGCATTAACATCCCATGTGTATTCGTTGTAAGGATGTTGCTGCATCAAGGTGCTACCTGAGTGTCTCTGCTCCTTCTTCTGGCCCTTGTCGGTCAGGTTCGCCAGTGGCTGCACGGACGCGGTGACCGGCCCCGCGAACAAATACAAAACCAGCAGAAACAGCGTCCAGCCCCGGACGCTGCTTCTCGAGGCAGTGTTAAAAAACTTATCGGTTTTCCAGCCCTTTTTCTGGCCCTTGCTCCAACAAGCAGTGTTCTTCTTAGCCTCTGATGCCTCAGCAGCGTCCTCCTCACTCTGCCCATCCGGTTCTCGCTCTTTATGTTTATCTTTTTGTTGATGATTATTGAAGGCAGTGTTTTTAAGCATTTTGGGATAAGTTTTAGCCGTAATAGTATCATGATTAACGTTACCTCTATAATTAGTATTACAATTAATGTTAATGTTATTAATACAAGTAGAATTATCATTATCATAAATATTACAAGTATCAGTAGTCTGTTGGCATAGTGCGGACGTGATTTTGACCTGGTGACACAGAGACCCGCTCGTAGAGCAGACACGACACGACGTGTGGACCTCGGTCTTGCATGACAATGAGGATGGTGAACCGGGATTAAAGGCAGTGCTGATCCACCCCCGCTCCTCGTAACCGGAATTCTGAGAACTGCAATAACTAGGAGAATTGTCAGGGTTGTTCTCCTCTTTCCCGGCGGGCTCGTTATCATCATCACCGGGATCCTCATCAACAGAGTCCTCAACAAGGGCATTAGCCTCAGATTCCGGGTGTCCAGCGTGTCCAGCGTGTCCAGCGTGGCGCTTACTGTAAAGCGACGAGGACGAAGAGCGAATGATCCTTCTGACGGACGTCGAGACCGGACTCGGACGTTTCGAGGGGAGGTTGCTGTTTTTGATGTCAATGGTGTTGTTGATGCTGTTGATGGCGAGGTTATGTAAGCTCTTCGTCTTGATGGTCGTGGGTGGTGGTGGTCCCGTGGTACGGGGCGGATGCTCGAGTCGCATGAGCACGTGACAGGGGACACTGGCGTCCCCACGACGACGTTGTCGGCGCTCGTTCCAGGAGGCGAGCGTCGACCTCCCACAGGCTCTTCTTCTTCTTCTATCGTTCCTTCTTGTGCAATTATTATCTTGTAAAAAATAATCCTCTTGTATTTCTTTCCTCTCGCTTCTGCTCCCGGTTCTCTCCCCGACGGAGCCTTCGACAAGGTGGGAAGTTCTAGCTCGCGAACTCGCGGCTTCTGGAGCCGACAGGGACGACGGCGCGGGTTCCGTAAGGTCGATCCGGGCCGCATCGCTGAAGCACCCAGTTAGGCCTGGGCCCGACGCCGCCGCGTGCTGACCGAGCACCCGGAACGTCAGATGCCAACAGCCTAGTGACAAAGCGGGAGTTTCCGCCTTCCGGAGCCAAAAACCCCGAGCCGGTTCGTTGTCGAGCTCTTTGACCTCGACGAGGTCCGGTTCTTCGACCAAGAGTCGCCCAAACCCAGAGCTCCGGTTCCTCGCCAAAGTTCCGAGCCCAAACTTCTGTCCAAGTCCAACTCCAGGCAACAAACTCGTCCAGCTTCTTCAGAGTTACCGGCTCCGGCAAGTACCACTGTTTTGTCTTTGGTTTCAGCTGCCTCGCTGCGCTGATTGAGTGATACAAGCGGTTCATGCTGCATGCTGGACAACCTGCCAACCCGCCACGCTGCCCCTACACACGTCCTCCTCCACCCTTCAGCTTTTATTCTCAAAACCCGGCTGCCCTTTTTTTCACACCCCCCCAAAAATCAGAATAAAATTCTATTTTATTCTATTCAATCTTTCTCCAAGTTACATTTACAATAACTTTTTTGCTGTCACGCGTACCGGCCGCAACAGCCAATCCGTCCAGAGGATGTCAATCATGGACACACCCCACTGATACCAAGTATTTAATATCACTATTCCCAAAAACTAATACACTCCTGACCTTCTCTGTAACTAAAACTAAACAAACCAACAAACAAATCACTGACAACTCACTAGTCCCACTTGTTCGATCTTTTTCACTCACTGGTGCCCCAACAATTTATTCTGGTGATAGCGACACTGGGGCTGCGCCCGCGCGTTCGCGTACCCCAGGCCCGTAAGAGAAAATTCAAACTTTTTTCTTCAAAAAATCGCCCAAATTTTTATTTAATTTTTCTCCGGGGTTTAAATACCCGAATTTACATTTCTCAGCCACTATTACAGTCGTCACTTCACTCACCACACTAATTACACTTCGCCGCGCCTTTTACTCGTAAAAAAACCTCCGGAGAACATGTAAGAGATTTAATTTCCCTCAGATTTATTATATTTATTTAATATCAAGACTTATACTTTACAAATTACCACGAATTAATTTATTATTTATTTATTTATTTATTTATTTATTTATCAGCTACCCGACACCACTGACGGACTCTGAACGCGGTCCTCGTCACCGGCGTCGCTGCTGACGCGGATCTACCATCCTCTCACACACTCTGCAGACTCACACACCCACACTCACTGACACTCATTAAAACCTGGCCCTATTTATCAATAAATAAATAAATTAATTCACTGTTTAAACATTTTGCTTACAAAAAAAACTACCCCGGGACTTACTCAGGATGTATTGCAATTATTTTACCGTAAGTTATGTTTGGTTAAACGGAACTAGTCCCAAAGTGACCATGATAATTTAAAAGGAGAGTTTATTTTCCGTTCACATACACACCACGAGCCCTACTCCCTCTCGTGTTCTCCCTTGTCAACGCGTGTGTCACAGACCACAGCCACGGCCGCCGTACAGTGTGTCCTTTCGACAGCGAGAATGGAACTAAACCTCGCCTACCTCCCCCGGAGCAACCAGCCGTATGCACGGCTGTCAGGGGGCGGAGCAATCTTTCCCTGTTTCACTGTCCGAAAAATCCCAGAATAATCCGCTGGTACTTACAACTTACTCCAGTTTTAGTTGTAACCCAACAATACAGACACTAATTTGATCCTCCGCTACTTAAATTAAACCAATGTTCATTAATTAATCGTCTATTAATTAATTAATAACAGAGTGACAGTGATAGTGACAGAAACACCAGATAAATTTATTTTTTCGGTCGATAAATCCGAGATCTGTAATTTATCACTGTTTTTTTTTAAATTTACTATTAAATATTTTTATTTAATTTTTTTTTATTATTATAATAAATATTGTTATTATTATTATTATTATTATTGAGAATTTATCAAGAATCCAGTCCAGCTTAGATCAGTTGAGTAAAGGTTAGTTCAGAAGATAAGTTAATAAAACGTAAAGAGAAAAACTAAAACGGGTAGCATTGCCCCGGGACGCACGCACGAGTCGCGCGATGCGCACACGTCCTTCCTCGAGTCACGGGGCTCGAGACTGCCACCAACGCACTGGTGGCACACTAACTTGGGCGCAACCACCGCCAAGATCAAGCCAGCCAGCGAGAGGGAGCTAACACAACCTTTTGCTGTGCTAAACAGAGACGGATTTATAGATTATGGACACACACATACACACACACACACACACACAGGGTTTGTTATACCGAGGACGGGGAGATGCCAGCTCCAACCTCGGCTCCTCGGTCTCTCTCTCGCGAGAGAAATCTCGAGAGATAGTACGCTCGAAAACCCTCCAAGGATCATCTATATAATCATCGGCTACATACTTTCTCTCCCGCTGAACCTTTCGGGCTTTTTTATTAAGTGAACACACGTTTAATCATCATCGGGGAATTTTTTTCACTGACACTCGCCACTTGGTTTATAGTTTTAATTTTTTTTTTATAATTACCGACACTTTTTTTTTTGCGATAAAAGTTTTTTTTAGAATAAAAAAGTGGATGTGCTCATTGTGAAAAAATTATTAAAGTCACTGATAAAAATTTATAAATATATTTTTAAAAAAGAATTTTGATTTAATTTTATTGAAATAATTATTGGAATAATTAAAAGGATAGCTAAATAATTAATTAAGAAGGTTACTAATGTAATTACCGATAAATAAACACATAATAACGTTTGAATAAGTGTGACAGGAAGGTGAAGGATGTCACACACACAGAGCCGGCCGTTTCTTGGTTTACCGTGGGTGAAAGGCGGGCGTCGCAACCTCCGCCATCTTCGTTTGTTGCCGCTCCCCGCCCGGGCTATCCGACGCCTACACCTCAGCGCCGTCAACGTTTCGTCCCTTTGCCCCGCAGCTGGTCCACCGGCCATCCGCCACCCAGCATCCTGGTCCTCTTCTCTCCCACGCAACCCTCGGCTCCGCACCCGCCGTCCCCTTTTTCGCTTCCCGACCCGCCAAGCTTTTTTACAATTTTTTCCTCAAAATTTTCAATTAATTTTTTCAGCGCGATAAAAATAATCCTTTTTTTTTTTTTGAAGAAAAAAAATTTATCTAATTGCGGAATTAAAATTGCAAGCTAATTGTTGTAAATTCGTAAAAAAGCTCCTTGGCGCGCTGACCTAAAGCTTGCGCAGTAGAGCGACGGTCCTGACAGTGGCGCTGGCGCCCGCGATTCAGGGATAATGGAAGATATTTAGTCAGACAGAAGTAAGTGGATTGATAAGAGTGCGCATGATCCGCTCTTGAAGGGGTTGTGGGGGAAATTTAGTGCTCTGTGTGTGTGTGTGTGTGTGTGTGTGTGTTTTGAGGACGTATGTAAGTACATATGTACTGAGACTGAGAGTAATTTATATGGAATCGATAATTCAGAACCAGCTGCAGAACGAAAGAATTTAGTCACGCGGCCTGCCTGTCCGATTGCCACTCGCTAAGAGCCTCTCGCTCTTACTTATGAAGATTTCCCTCCCTTATCTTTATTTGTATCTTTATCTCCGTACATGCGAACATAAAATATATAAATACATATATACATAGGAAGAGATAAATGTTTAAATGAATGCATACAAGACTCTACTCCCGACTCGTATCTTTACGATTGTGTCCTCTTTCAGCGGCTAAGGTGGGATGTTACACGTTTTAGTGGTTGTAAGCTTTACCACTTGTTATAAAATTGGGCTCGTGCCATTGTAATTTTATACACATGCTCGCCCGAGCACAACTTTGGCACAAATCGAGATTAAATCCGACAATTTTTTTTGAGAGAGAGAAGAATGTCTTTAGGACACGTGACAAGAGTTGGCGCGTGATATTGTCGGGCATTAAATTAAAAAGTATGTTTAAAAGAATGTGCGCATGCCTAAGGAGAGAGTATCGTTGTTAATCAGACGGTGCTTAACTTTTTTGGTATTTACTTAATCGATGGCTTGTACTATATCCGTCTCTGAAGATTAATTCCTCGGTTATTATGAGGAAATTGTTAGTTTTTTTTTTTCAACTTGGGGATTAATTTTTATTAATTATCAAGAGTTATTGGTTTTATTGATCCAAAAAAAATTAAAATTTGATCTTTATTTTGTTGGAGTCTATGTCTTCGATTGAAATAAAATTTTTTATATGCATAAAAATAACTCAGATTTTAATAATGAATTTTTTGAAAATTTTAAATTGGAACTTTTATTTTTACTAGCTGGATAATTTTTTAAAAATAAATTCCTAATAGATAAATACAATAAAATTGTTTTAATTGAATAATAATTAATCTTACCAATTAATTAAATTCAATAATTTTAATCATTTTTATTATAAAAAAAATCTAAATTATTAGAAAAATTTTTAATCATTAAGAAATTATTTAGCAAATAAGGAAAATAAAAATAAAATAAAATTTTAAGTATTAATTTTTGCAGTTTTTAATATAATTTAAAATTTTTCTAATGTTTTTTTTACAAAATTTGTAAAAATTAAATTATTAAAAATTGTTTTTTGAGCTTGGCTTAAAAAAAAAATTTTTAATTTTAGAAAGTAATACTTGAATTAATTTATCAAAGTTTCTCATAAAAAAAAACTCAAATTTCAATTAAAATTTTTAGTAAAAATAAATAAATTTTTTAACTTTTGTCAAAAATTGGCAAATAAATTGTGCAATGAGTGACAAAACAATTCAAAGTGAAAGTTACCTACGCGAATTACAAACTAAAATTAATATTACAATATAGAGTAGTATTGGCAGAGAATATAAATAAAGCGCAGTTGACACATACGAGCTCCGAAGGATAAGCTGGAGGTAAAATGATAATTCGGATATATATATATATATATATATATATATATAGAAAGAGAGAGAATAGCATCGAAGGGTCGAACTTTAAGCGGTATTATGCTGTCACGTGCGAGCACTCGCCCTCCGGCACGACTAGTATAGTAACGCGGACGTAATCTCAACAGAGTAAGCGTACACACTCGTTATGTTACACACATGTATTTTATATTTATACATGTACAGACATATATTGTTATACGGGAGTATAGAGTATGGAATATGGAAAGATGCAGGGGCCGGCACGACCCAACAGATAAGCAGAAAAAGAGGGCGAATGCAAGTGAGAGAAGGGCCGGAAAAACGGGAGAATATATGTGTACGCTACATAGAATTCGGAGTCGAGGGATGTTATATAAAGCGGGCTGAGACCAAATTCTAAGGGCATGAATAACTGAAAGAGACGAAAAATATTTAATTTTGGTCTCCCGTCTTTCATATTTGGCTCATTCACATTCAGATACTGTCACGTATATATTTTTGATTTCAATGCAGTTAATATGTATGAGGATAATATTTTATACTGTTTTATATTGTATCGGTATGTATATATATATCTATATTTTGTGGCTGCTATCAATTCAAACAGACCTTTCGTTGGTGCTCTATACATGTAACTTTTGGCTTTTGTAATAGACTGTAATGGATGGTACTGAATTTACATATATATTTGTACATATTTATTCAAAATAGATGATAATAATAATTATTATTATTATTTGTTGAAAATACCAAAATTCTCGAGTAAAGTTTAAATGTAAAGTAAAGTTAATTAAAAATTTTTAGTTATGACATATTGCTTTATTTTAAATTCTTGGAGTAGAAAAAATTTTTTTTAATTATAGTAAAAAATATATTTTGTAGTGTGTAAGTTTTAAAAATGAAAATTTAAAGAAATTTATTATAATGATTTGATAAAATAATTTTTATTAATTATGAAAAATTGATCTGAGTACTCAAATGAAAGCTCCTGATGAGTGTAACATCGGGATAATCTTGTATCTTTAAAAATGTCAATAGTTCACAAGACACAAGGTCATTTCTTAATTATGTATCTAGAGATAGAGTCAAGACTTTTCCAACGGTAGCAAATTTAACCGTAAATACCTATTTTATCATATAAATACACTGGCCACAAAACTTTGCTTATTCTTTTAATAATATAGATAAAACAATTAAAAAAAGTTGTTATATTTAAATTAAAAAAATTTTTTTTTTTTAAGAAGAAAAAAAAATAGCGGCTTAGAATTTGACCAAAGTAAATGATGATAAAGAAAATCTATAAATAAAACGAGGGAAGATTTGAGTAGAGGAAAAAGGCATTTATAAAGCTACAAAGTAATTTGGTATGTTGTATATATATTACACAATAAAATAAAAGCCATAAATCTTGGGAATATGCTCGATAGATGTAGACTTATTTGTTTTTACTCGCCGACAGATTCTATACATATATAAATTATCAGTATTACTTACAGCCACTTAATTCGCCTTTACTTTTAAGACGAAGCGATATCCCTGGGTAGTTATAACTATCAATAAAGTCGGTTGCATTGTGTGGTTGTTACACAGAATAAAAGCCGAGTGAGGACGGAAATCGCTGATTCAGCTGCTTAAGGAAGCTATATGCTGGCACTACTCTCGAGACTTTTCCGATATTATTAATTGACTATAAAACATTGTCATTTTTTTATTGGGGTATTAAATCTATTAATTTAATATTTTGTGGATAATTTAAATTGTTTTTTTATAAAAAAAAATACCCAAAAGTAATTATTGCAATAAAAAATTTTTTAATAAAAAAAACTAGCAAACTTGCAGTCACTATGAGACTGCCGTGACTTGTGAACTATAAAAAATTAAGATTTTGCTTGATTAAATAATGAATTTTGTTAAATTGGACTGTAGTTTCTTAAATATTGACGTTTTTAAAGATAAAAGCTCATCCTGATGTTAAACTCATCAAGAGCTTTCATTTGAGTACCCACATGCATTTTCATATATTTTTCATATATTCATATATATAAATATATAAAATACATGAAAAATTGATGTGGGTACTCAAATGAAAGGTCTCGATGAGTGTAATATCGAATTGAGCTTATATCTTTAAAAATATCATTAGTTGACAAGATAGCAAAGTATGTTCTTAATTATTGACATTTTTTCTAGATATAAGCTCATCCCGATGTTACTCTCATCAAGAGCTTTCATTGGAGTACCTACATGCATTTTTATATATTTTTCATAAATACATATATATATGAAAAAATTGATATGGGTACTCAAATGAAAGGTCTCGATGAGTGTAACATCGAAATGAGCTTATATCTTTAAAATTGACAATATTTCACAGGATACAAGGTCATTTCTTAATTATGTATCTAGAGATAGAGCATTTTCGAATGTAGTCTAAATACATGTCATAATAAATTAACTATCAGTGAGAATGAAATGAAACCTTGAAAAGGCACAAATTCAAGTCAAGACCTTTGCAATGACACTCAATTTCACTAAAACAACCGATTTCATCATATGACTATCCTGGAAACAACATTTTTCTTATTCTCTTAATAATATAGATTATTCAAGTTAATAAATCTAGTGTTTTTTATGAAAGACAAATGTATAGATTTATTTGAATTACACAGAAATAATATTACGTATATCAATAGTAATTTATCAAAGTAATTATCATTAATGCATGACTACAGATTCAACTTGATCAAATAATTAAACCCTAGAGATAAAATTACATTAAAATTTTAATGTAATTAATTATCATAACATTACCGTTATTAAATAATTATAATAAATTTTATGGTAATATTAATAATCAATATATTATTTATTAATAATAATTTTATTTAGTATACCGCGATTTTTTTAATTATTTGCCTTTATACTATGTCCTGCATTAAAAAGGAATTTTAATATTTGGTCAATCAATAATTATTATTAATATTATTAATTATTATTATTTTATATTTTTTCATTTTTTATCAACAATTATTTACACGACTGTATCACAGGCATAAGAGCCAATTATTTATTCAATTTTATTTCATTCAAATTATCTTTGATCTACAATTATTATTAATCAGTTGTTTACTGTTGAATGAAAGCGATAATAAAATTCATATATTTTTTTTTTCGTGTATTCGTCAACCGAATAATTTGTTCTAATATTACGATAATTTTAATATATAAATTCTATTTTAATCAAGCACCTTTATTGATTATTAATTATTTAGAATTAATAAAATTTTTTTTTCAACAAAAAGTTAATATAAAAATAATGCTTAAATTATTTATTTAAAATAATTAAATATTTTTTACGTAATTGCGGCTTAATTTTACTATTCAGTAATTTTGATCTTTAGAAAATAAAATGTTTTTTACCAATATATAAATATCATGCCAAACTTACTCACCATAAATTGATTTTAAATAATAGACGTGTAAAAAGTAATTATAAAATAATTAATATTCAAAATACTATTAATTAATATTTTGTTAATTTAATATTCACGCACTCGACTAACTTTTAGCAATAAAAAATGATAATAAAATAAAATAAAAGTTACTTAGTATGTATAAAGTAATTTTTTTTTTATCTAATAAAAATTCAACGATCATTCATCCCATTCGAATAATAATAATTATTATTTTTAGAGATAAAATATATGATGTGTGTAAATGTCATTAAACATTAAATTTACCCAGTAACATTTCAGCTAAATTAAAATTACTATCCTGATGTGAATTAACAGGAGCGAAAGTTGTAGGTGGAACCTGCGCTGCAGATTGAGATTGAGATTGTGAAATGTGAACCACTGATGCTGGATGTTCTTCAGCGTCTGCACTACACACAGTAACCGTAAAAGTGTCATTACTGTCTGTAGAGCGTTCAAAATCGGACGGTTCACCTGAACAATTAAACAATTTACAAGTCCTTTATTTTATTTTATTTTATCCTGTACTATAAAAAAATAGCGTGTGTACTTATGTATACGCGTCAGAAGTTATACTTTTTTGGCATAATAAAAAATTTTTTTCTGCCCTCCGGCCGGAAAATGGCAACTTTCTTGCCGCTGCGCTAAACAAAGTTGCCACATTCCGGCAACGTCGAGCAGAAAAATAGTATACACACCTTGGCCAGTAAAAAGTAAAGCCTCTGATCACATGTTTGTAAACCTCGGCTTCGCCTCGGCCAACAATTACACTGAAAAAAAAAATTCTTGACTGAAGTGTAAATTTTCTTGGCTCAAGAAAATATTAAGGAAGGTTGAAAATTTCTTGAATGAAGTTAAAGTTTCTTGAGCCAAGAAAATTTTTTCTTGCTTCAAAACAATTTTCGTTTTCCTTTAAATTTTCTTGGCGCAAGAAATTTGTTTTTTGTGTATACATGTGATCTGAGACTTTTCTTATTTTACTAGCCTAGGTATGTAATATACTATTAAAGAAAAAAAAAATGCAAAAATGATCGAAGAAAAATATTAGAAACTATCAAAAAGGTTTTATTATATTAAAAATTTAGCTATACTGTATAAATATAAAATAATTAATTATCATATGAATTTAATTCAATATTATTTAAGATTTTTCTGAATCAACTAATTGTGGAGTTGCAAAGTATCATTAGTTTACAATTGATAATTATAAAATATTTTAATTATTTATTTAAAATATGTTTCTTATAAAATAGTTCATTATTTATTATTTAACCTACACGGAAAGAACAAGATGATACTGGATATCATGCCAGATTATATTCAGTGATGTCTGTGGCGAAAAAAAATTTCATAGTAGCTAAAAAAAATCCAGATTATAATGTGTGATATCTGGATTATACTCATTATAATTTGGATTATACTCATTGTTATCTGGATTATACTAGCTACTATCTTAAATTTTTTTTTACTTAATATAATCTGAGATTATATCCAGTATCATCTTGTTCTTCTCGTGTAGAGATAATATCTTTTTAATTAATATTTATTCAAAAATAATATTAATTACATGAATTAAAAAACTTATAAATATTATAGTATTTTGTTTCCAATAAAATTCTGGAAAATTATTAAAATAGTTTGTAATATAAATTTTTTAAAATATGGATAAAATTACTGATAAAAGTACTGCAATATTTGTATTTTTGTTCAAATATTTCAATTCATTAAATTATTATTATTTTTTAAAAAATATTAATTAAAAAGAAATAATTACCAAGTTAAATAAAAACTAAAATATGTAATTGACCATTTTTAATAAGCAAAAAAAATGCACTCTTAAAAAATAAATATTCGAAGTATTTAATGATAATTCGATACGCTGTCAGTTAAATTAAGATGCGTATTATATGGGAGTGTTTGAGCTTATATTGTTGTATTGGATTATTGATTAAGCGTTATAATAACAATAATTATGCAACAAAGTACTCACCATTGATGCTGTGAGTGTCCGATACTAGAAAGGTTGTGTTGCCAGATGTCTCACCGTTGTGGGAGTTCCTACTACCGCCTGAATTTACCAGCGACCTGAAGGACCTGAAGGAATCGTCACTGCTGTTTGACGAATTTGAATGACGTCTCTGTTGTGATCTTAATGCTCGAGTGAATGGATTCTCACGCTGTGGTGTGAATGTACCACCTTGTGTGCCTAGAAATTTTTTTTTTTATTAATAAAAATTTTTTAATTAAAATATATTATTTTTACAAAAATTAGGGTAAATATTTACAAGTGGGGTCAACCATTTTAATTATCATTTTTTTTAACGAAATTTCTATTTAATTTTTTCACAAATCCGTCAAAGAAGGAGTCTTCCCAAGTGAATGGAAATTATCATATATCTGCCCAATATACAAATCTGGACCCAAGTCCAGTATCATTATCTACCGTCCAGTCTATATACAATCATCTTTGGCAAAACTCTTCGAGAAACTTGTACTCCCTCAGTTAATATCTGCATTCAAAAATATTATCTCAACTAGACAGCATGGCTTCATAAGTGGCAGGTCTACTACAACAAATCTCTACATCTACACTGATTACATATATAACGCCCTGAACCATGGGTTCAGCGTCCACGCACTGTATACTGATTTCAGTAAAGCGTTTGATACAGTCAATCACGATATTCTAGTAGAGAAGCTGAAATGTCACGGGGTGACTGGTAAAGCCTTGAACTGGTTCCAATCTTATTTAACTGGAAGGAGTCTCCAAGTGAGGGTCAATGGCTACTACTCGAAGGAATATGAGGTCAACTCTGGAGTTCCTCAAGGTTCGCACCTAGGTCCGGTTCTATTTAATATATTTATCAATGATATTGCAGATAATTTAAGCTCTGAATATCTTCTGTATGCAGACGACATGAAGATATATCGAAAAATAAATACTGAGAATGATATAAGAGTATTACAACAAGATCTGGATAAGCTCTATCAATGGTGCCTAGAAAATAAGTTAAAGTTAAACATCGATAAATGCGCTGTTATGATGTTTAATAGATCCCATGGAAGCTTCCCGGTCGACTACAATATAAATGGCCAGCCATTACCTAAACCTCCTGTTATGAAAGACTTAGGTGTGCTGGTTGACACCAAGTTAAGCTTCAATGAGCACGTAGACAAAACAGTATCAAAGGCGTATAAAACTCTAGGGTATATAATCAGATCAGGCAAAGACTTGAAGAACGAAAGAACATTAATACTTCTATTCAATACCCTGGTCAGACCGATTTAAGAATATTGCACTGTAATCTGGTCACCAAGTACGACACAAGCTACTAATAGACTAGAAAGAATACAATACAAACTGTGCAAGCATCTTGCAAATCGTACGTTTTTGTCTACAGTTCAGGAAGCATACAGTAACTTCCAGATTAACAAGCTTTCCCAGAGAAGACAAATATCGGACTTAATTTTTGCTTTCAAAATTATTAACGGACACATCGACTCTCCAGAGATCCTAGAGAAAGTAGGAATCATCTGTCCAACGTCAAACTTAAGAGCAAATCGATTAATAGAGACAATTAAAACTACCAAAAGTTATATATATAATAGCCCGAGGAATAGGATCGCTAATCTAATCAATGATAATTGCTCGCACCTTGAATTATTCGACACCTCGATCACATCGTTTGTATCATCGGTTAAAAGACTGCTTCTAACCACTAACCAATAACCACTAGCCTCTTAAAAAGTGCAATTTCATTTCATTTAGAAATAACTACTCTTAGAGATATTTTTTTTTTTTATTTTATATAATATTAATAATTTAAACTTATAAAGTAAATGAAATTGATTTAATACAACTTAATTTAAATTTAATTCTATTGAAATGTTAATACTCTATTTACATATTTTTATTTTTATTTTCTTTTTTCACCCATAACCAAAAATAATTGATGTAAATCTAATGTATAAAGCCGATTGGCGTATGAATGAATAAATAAATAAATTTTATTGATATTTTTTTTTTTAAAAATACATAAAAAATGAACAATTAAAAAAAAAATTGATTATCACAATTTTAACAAATTTTCAAAAAAATTTATAAATTTTTTAGAAAATTGTGATATTCAACTTTTTTTAATAACTATTCGTTTTTTTATGTACTTTTCTAAAAAAAAAAAACTAAATATCAAAAACAATCAAAAAAGAATAAAATAAGAAACTTTAATTCCAAAAACCAATGAGAGCCAATTTTATTGATATTTTTTTTTTTAAAAATACATAAAAAATGAACAATTAAAAAAAAATTGATTTATCACATTTTAACAAATTTTCAAAAAAATTTATAAATTTTTTAGAAAATTGTGATATTCAACTTTTTTTAATAACTATTCGTTTTTTTATGTACTTTTCAAAAAAAAAAAAAATATATCAAAAACATCAAAAAAAGATAAAATAGAAACTTTATCCAAAAACATGAGAGCCAAAATTTTTTCCAACTTTTGAAGGCAAAGAAGCTATCGAAATCTTTATTTTTTTTTCTTTCACGACATTTTTTATCATAAATGCGCCGTAAAAACAAGTAGAATCAAAAAAAATTTGAAAATGTTAATTTTTCACCTAGTTATCGCCCAAAATGGAGTTGACCCCACTTGTAAATAATTACCAAAAAATTTTTAAATTTTCTGGATAAAAATTTCCTGAAATTTATAAATAAATTTAAATTTACCTTGATGACCGTCTCTGATTAACGGAGTCGAGTCATCGGCATCTGAATCACTTTCACTGTCAGTGATTATTCTCTCATCGGCTGCGAAAACTTTGCGCTTACAAACTGGACACACACGCTTATTTTTCGTGAGCCAGGGATCAATACACTTTGTATGATATGCTAAAAAAAAAATATTAAATAAGTCTTGATTATAATAAATAATTTTTTTAAATTAATGTTTAATTTTTTATATTCTCTTTGATGTATATTGCTGATAGTAAGTTGATAAATAAATAAATAAAAATTGTAACAGCTAAAACAAAAAATTCTCACCATGAGCGCAAGGTAGTACACGCAGCTTATCATTTTCAACATAATCGTCTAAACAAATGGCACAAGTCTCATAAGGATCGCCCTTTGTGTACTTGTGCGTGGGTATTTTCTTCAAACTCGACTTAGGTAATCTATGCCTACGCTGTCTACGTCTATCTTTTATACATCTTACAACCATGAAAATAACCATGACTAGGAAACATATGCCCACAACAATCGCAAACGGGAGTAACAAATGTGTGTTGATATTAAATGGAATATCATCATTTATCAACACTGAGAAATCATTGTCCCATAAATAATTTTCTTTTATTATTAAGCCCGTTATCGAGCTTACAAATACTGATGGGATAATTATTCCAAGTGGTTCCTTGGCTGACATTGGTTCTGTTGAGTAATTAAAATTTTTTTTTCATTAATATTAATTTTTCGAATTTTTTTAATAAATAAATTATAGCTAGAAAAATTTATTTAAAAAATTCCATCTTATAAGATCCAAAAAATTATAATTGCAATTTTTTAAAATAATTTTTTAAACCGAGTTTATTTTTAAATAAATATAAAAAAATTGTCAAGTACCTGCTCATTTTTAATTGTCATTTTAACAATGATAAAAATTCTTGAATCAAATAAATATTTATTAAAGCCACAAAAAATTTCTTTATTAAAAAAAAAATTTTTTTTTGACCTTGAATTTTTTTATCAGTATGTAAATAAATAAATAAAATTACCCACCTAATTCATTACTATTAACATTATGAACAATAACAGCATCATAGCCAGCTTTTTGTGCCATTCGTACTTTTATTTCAAAGCTACAATTGTAACGAGCTATTAATGCTATCCATAAACCGGTGTAATTAGTCTCATTCGGCGGTGGAGCTATTACACGGCACGCTGTTGGCGGCTGTGCGTAAACAACTCTCCCCTATAAATTAATAAATAATTATTTCCTGCATAATAAAACTGAAACCAGTTTAAATGAATGAATAAATAATAATCATTACTCGGATTCCCTCGACGGGAATAAGTGGGCCGAATCTAGCAGGTACATCGCGGAACTCTTCTTCTATTTGATGCTGCGAATTGTCTGAAAAGACAAGAATGTCCCCGTAGACATTCGCGGCCATTGTTGACAGTGTCAGACACAACAAAACGCGGTGGCTCGAGCAACAGCAGTATGACAACATTATCGTTGTGTATTTGGTCGAGGTTTATTACACTGTGATGATTATTGTTACGGCGTTATGAGGCACTTTCACCCCATAAGGATATATCACATCCTATAAATCGTCGTGTGTCAAGTGACTTAATTTTACATCACTGGTTTTTATTGATGGATAAATACTGCCCTGGAACAGAATAAATAAATGATTATTATTTTCAATTTACATTTAATTAATTTACTAACAACCTTGCAGTCACTATGTGACTGCCGTGACTTGTGAATTATAAATAAATAAAATTTTGCTTCATTAAATAATAACTTTTGTTAAATGGCACTGTACTTTTTTTATCTATTGACGTTTTTAAAGATATAAACTCATCTCGATGTTACTCTCATCAAACGCTTTCATTTGAGTACCCACATGCATTTTGATATATATATATATATATATATATATATATGAAAAAATTGATGTGGGTACTCAAATGAAAGGTCTCGATGAGTGTAACATCGGGATGAGCTTATATCTTTAAAAATGTCAATATTTCACGAGGTAAAAGGTCATTTCTTAATTATGTGTCTAGAGATACATATGTGAATCGTTTATTTGAGAAACCCCATAAGTCATATTTTTTTCGAAATCGGGTTTATTGGATTTTTCGGTTCTTTGAATTTCCCCTCACTTATACCAGCACCAAAAAATATTAAATCCGTGATCAAGACCTAACCAATCGGTCGATATAAATCTCGTTTAGTTGAGAAACCCCATAAGTCAGTGACTTATGGATTTTTTCGAATAAACATTCAATTTAAAAATTCCAAAAATAATTTTTTTTTTTTTTTCCAAAGAAACTTCTGACAAGAAAAATTCAATTCAATGCAAAATACGTAAATTTTGATAATTTTCGCAGTATGGATTTAAAAAAAATTAAATTAAATTATTGTTTTAGTTTTTTATGTGATTTCACTGACTTTAATTTAAAAATGATTGATTATTAGATAATTAGAAATTAAATTTACTGTTAAATACTTGAATTTTAATGAGTTTTACAATATTCGCTTGATTGATTAAAATTAAAAATATGTTGTTTTATTGTTGACCCTGATTTAACTGATTTAAATTCTGAGATTAATAATGATCAAATAAAAATATATTATATTTACTGTGAAATACTTTGATTTAAATAATTTTTGCAATTTTAGTTTTATAAAGTTAGATTGTGATAAATTAAAATCTTGTTTTATTGTTCACTCTCAGTTCACTAATTTGAATTTAAAAATGAATGATTTATTATAATTTTTGTTAATCGTAGTTCCGATACATATTTTGTACTTTATTTTATAAATGTAATAAATAATTGACGGAGAAAAATTAATAAATGAATAATTTTATTACTATTTTGTTCGTTAGAGGTTGGCAATGGCCTGGTCGGCTCGGTGCTCACTTTTCGAAAGAGTGGGACCCGGGTTCGATCCCAGCACGCACCAATATTTTTCAGTGATTATAATTAAAAATATGTGCGTAACGTTACGTTGCCAGCCTCTGGAAGTGGCAGAGATAGCCGGGCGGCACACGTCTGACTTGGGCGATCACACATTTAAGCAACAACTTGAATGGGTGACCACTCTAGTCAGCGTTGGCTAGCGCGAGGGATCTCTGCACACTAGGAGAGGAGCCTAATACTCCAGTGGTCAATAAAGAAGAGTTTCTTATCAATCACTGTAGACTTAGCCCAGCTCCGACTGTACTATCATGGGTTTTCTCTGTGGTTTCCCCATGGTTCTGTACCAACAGCCTGAGAGGTGAGGTTCAGGGTGAATACGGTACAGAAAGCACAAAATTCGGGCCACAGCCGCAATATAGTGGAGATACTGTTGATGCCCCAAAAAAGAGTGGGGATATCAGCCTTGTAAAAACCAGATAACGGTATACAAGTAAAACCCAAAGATAAGATACTATTTTGTTCGTTTTGGTAAGAAACCCCATAAGTCAATCAACTTCAAGTCACTATTATGAATAGTAGTAATTACCAATTAAATTTTTTCATGCTCGAATATTTTTTCGGGATACTAACATTATTATTATTCTTCATTGGTTCATGATGTTAATGCAAACTTAACCGAGAAAAATGTTTTTTGCTTCTCCTGAAAAATTTAGTATTTTTGACGTATGGGGTTTCTCAAATAAACGATTCATGTACTTTCTCGAATATTGACGTTTTTAAAGATATAAGCTCATCCTGATGTTACACTCATCAAGAGCTTTTATTTGAGTACCCACATGCATTTTGATATATTTTTCATATATACATATATATAATTTATATAAATATATGAAAAAATTGATATGGGTATTCAAATGAAAGGGCTCGATGAGTGTAACATCGGGAAGAGCTTATATCTTTAAAAATGTCAATAATTTACGAGATACAAGACAATTTCTTGATGATGTATCTAGACATAGAGCATTTTCGAATGCAGCCTAAATACTTATCATAATAAATTGACTATCGGCAAGAATGATATAAAACCTTGAAAAGGCACAAATTCAAATTAAGACCTCCGCAATGACATTAAATTTCACTAAAAAAATCGATTTTATCATATGACTATCCTGGACATAAAATTTTTCTTATTCTCTTAATAATATAGATTGCACTGTAATTAGCAGACATCTAAAAACTTTTTTAAATACATTATTATAAAAAAAAATATTTTTTTAAATTCCCACTTATAATTTTTACATGTAAAATTTTTTTATTATAATTTAATTGTTTAGAAAAAATTCTATATGCATTTTAAATTTCAGTATCATTATTCAAGAGCAATAAATTAAAGATAATTATTGAAAATTATATGAATGTTATAAAAAAAAAAAAATAAGAATTATTCTTGTAACTTACGACTTACGAAACTTCATATTATTATTAATATTATTATTACACTATGAGCCGTAATAAAACAGTAATAATTTAAACAAGGAAATAATTTAAAAATGATTCAGCGTACTTAAACAGAGAAAAAATTATCTAAATTATCTAATCCGGAAACAATGCAAGTGAACATCAATAAAAAAAATTAAAACTATTACAATCCACATCAAAATCTTAACTAAATATCACTTTGCACTATAATTACCGTAAGTAAGTGATACTCCTTGACAGAGTATTTAAAAACAATAACAAAAAAAATTTTTTAATAAAAACAGCAAGATTAACTATTAATTAATCATCACTAATTACCAACAATGACAATGTTATTACGTATTAGCAATAATAATAGACTATTTAAAATAAATTTTAATAAATATAGGTCATCTGATATCAAATACAAAGGAAATAAAACTAGTATAATCAGGGGACTGCACTTATGAGAGTTAGAAATAAAAAAAAGTCTCATCAATGATGTAAATAATATGTGTATATGTATATATATATATATATATATAAGTACGGAGTGGATAACCAATTTGTATATATAAATAAAAATATATATTTATATATATACATATACATAACACATAGTTATCACTTGGCAAATATATAACTTAATATATCAAGGTTGTAATGTCACATGTATTTAAAATACACATTAACTACGTCTTAATGATTAAAATTCATTGTCATAAGTCATAAGTTGGGGTAATTACTTAGATGTCTTTTAAATAGTACCTCCAAAAAAAAATATTAAACACTTATGCGTGAATAAGGATGACAATTTGTTATTGATAGTTGAGGGTTGAGAGGTTAATAGATATAATGAAAGAAAAAATTTGACAGGAGTGGAAGAAAAGTAGTTGAAAAAAATAAAATTATGTTAGCAAAAATGAATGATTGTTTTGAAGTCGCAGAATAACTGGCTGACTTTTGCAATCTTACCATTGAGATTTTGGAGTTTATGTGGATGCAATGTCACTTCAATAAATTACACAGGTATTAAATGCACTCTCATGAGAATATATAATTGTTGTATTAAAATGAGTAACAAGTACAATGGTTATAATACTTTTTTTTTTAATTTTACGTAAAAGTATGATATATTGTATGTACGGCCGCTTTCTTTAGGAAAAATATTTTTTGCGCATGCGCAGAACGTATGTGCGCGAGATTTCTGCGCTCAATTTTTTAGGCGCGAAAATTTAATATGTCAAAATATTAAACTTTCAAAATCCAACAAAAATTTACTTTTTTTTTAAATTCATAACCTTTTTTTGGTTACATAAAAAAATTTTTAAATTTATACAAAACATTATGAAAATTTAGTTAGCCGACATCTAAAAATTTTTAGAATTATTTTTTATTGAAAAAATTATTACAAAAAAATAAAAAAAAAATTTCATCTGTAAAAATTTTTAAAACATTTTTTTGTTCTAATTTAATTATTAAAAAAAAAACGAAAAATTAAAAACGTCGGCTAACTTTAGTATTATAAAAATATTTTATAGGGTAAAAAAGAAAAAAAAAATTTGTTTATTATTATCATCTTTATTTCAATAAAATCAATACTAGAATTATCATAATTTATTAAATTCACAACAATTAATTAAATTTTCAATTGGATAATTGCATAGTGTTATATTGTTGAAATAATTATGGCTATTTTTTTAAAAATGATATCCAACATTTTAAATCTATTGTTATCTTTTTAGTATTAACTACAATTATAAACGTAATATATACAAGCTCTATGTAAAATTAACTTCAATACAATTTACGAGCTGTTTTATTTTTCAAAACAAAAAAAAATCAAAATTTACTTAATTTCATCAACTCAATACTCTATTTTCCAGTATTGATAAATTCTACGCATTTTTATTTATTCATAATTCAACACACAATCTAAAAGTAAAAAAAAATCTAATAAAAAATCATTTTACGAATTGGTAAATTAATTCTCAATTGAATAAACAAAAAAAAAAATTTTTTATACTCTTGCAATTATCTTACGCTTCTGATATTAATAAAAATCAAAAAAAAATTATATTGATTGAAAGTTTAATTTCTAGTGATCCAATTGAATGCTTTGAATATAAAATAGGCAACAGTGATAGCATAAATATATTTATCACGTTGTTGACGTTGGTACAGAACAGATTCTACAGCCATCACTCGACGATTGAGCTTCCCCAGCTGACGTCGTAAATGTTGAATTTCATCTGATTGCGGCAGCGAAACATCAAGAGTACTATTCCAAACTGGCGTTTGTTCTCTAGTAAATTAGTGGCATATTGATGCATTAATTTTTTTTTTTTTTTTTTTTTTTTTTTTTTCAATTTAGTCACTAATTAATGGATTTTTTTTTAATTCTTACCTTACATTACGTCTAACTATTTGTGTGTCACTAACAAAAGGTCCATTTGTAACTGGAGGTGTTGAATTTACAGCTATTGTATTTGGATAATCATCATTTTCATCATCAAATGTTGGAAAAAAATGATCACCTAGCGTTAAAATTCTTGGTGGAGTCTAAAAATAATTTTTTCCAACAATCAACCCAGATAATTATTATTAATATTATTATTAAATTTCCATTTTTTATTATTATACCAATATTATTATTGTTATACCTGGACTCTGGTCATTGTATGCTCCGGTGGGATAACTGAATTATCCAGGGTCATTTCAATAGGTGGAGCTTTTAATCCGACATGTTGATCATGTCCTGTAAAATAAATCATAAGCTATGTTATGAAATTAAAATTAATTTAATAATTTTTATAACAATTAAATTATCTAAAAAGTTAACATGTATAAATTTAAAAAAATTAAAAATGCAATTTTTAAAAATATTTTTTTTTTGAACAAATTTATTTGTAAAATAAAATTAATAAAATAATCGAGTGACCGCCAACTTGAATGTCATTTTTATAAAAATTAATTTGGCCAATATGTGATAATTTTTATAATTTTTGTAACAAATGAATTATGGAAAAAAAATAAGAAAAAATTAACATGTATAAATTCTAAAAAAATTAAAAAAGCAATCTTAAAAAAAAAAGGTTTTTTTGGGACAAATTTATTTGTCAAATAGAATTAACAAAATGATCAAATGATTGCTAACTTTAATGTCATTTTTATAAAAATTAATTTAGCAAATATTCGATAATTTTTGTAACAAATAAATTACGGCAAAAAAAAATTGACATGTAGAAATTTTAAAAAATTAAAAATGCAAGTTTTTTTTTTAATAATTTTTTCGGAACGAATTTATTTGTCAAATAAAATTAATAAAATGATCAAACGACTGCTGAATTTAATGTCACTGTTATAAAAGCTTACCTATTACAATTTTTATTATTATTATTGTAATAATTAAAAAAAAATATATATATTTACCAACAACAAGAATTCTATCAGGCATATGCATATCAAAAACTTGATTAGGTCTTGGTTGCGTCCAAGAGTCATTTGCAGTAGAATCATCTTTAAATTCGTCACCAATTCTCAATGTTTTTGGTAATCGCATTTTATTACTCATTTCATAATTTTGGTCATAAAAATTGTCAACTTCTCCATTGAATATCGCTGGACTTTGTGATGTTGACATTGTTAACTGAAATAAATTTTTTTTTTCTTTATACAGTAATATATTTAAACAAATTACAATTATTTCTTAAAAGTAATAAAAATAATTTCTTTAATTAAAATAAAAATATTTTTAGACAATCAATAAAAAGAAAGAATAAGAAAACTAGCGATATAATACTCCCTATAACCTACAATGTCACAATAGAAATTTTTTATATTAATTATTACCTTTTTCTTTAAATTATCAGTGTGATATTTTTAAATAAATTGAAATAAAATAAATGCTTCTTTGTTTAAATTTCACTACGCATATAATTTTTTTGTGAAATATTTCTGTAAATTTAAATTTTGGTTACTAATTGTATCACAATAATTTTCTTTATGCACGTCGATTATTATTATTATTATTATTATCAATACAATATTAAGATATAGCTACTAAAGGTTAAGCGGAGACAATAGTAAATAAATATAAGTAAGTACTTACTTACACTGTTAATTGTTATGTGATTCTCTTTCTTATTATTTTTCACTCGAATATGTATACATATATTTATTTTATTATCGAAAAAGATAAGTACAAGCCATCATTCGGGATAATAAAAAATTAAACATTTGTACATTATAGAAGGTGGAGACATCTATGTATATTAACAATAATTTAAAATGTACCTTTCCCGCTTTTTGCAAAAAATTAAATAAATTATTTAGCAGGCACTTGAAAATTCTTCAATTTTATTGAACAAAAAAATTATTTAGAAAAAATTTCATTCATTATTTTTAAATGCCATTTTTTTGTCATAATTTATTAGTTACAAAGATTCTTAAAATTATAAAATATCTGCTAAATCAATTTTTATATTTATTGAAATTAAACTAGCAACCTTGCAGTCAATGTGATTGCTGTGATTTGTGAACTAAAAAGAAATTAAAATTTTAATTTATTAAATAATGATTTTTGTTAAATTGCACTGTAAGTTAACTATTCACATTTTTAAAGATACAAGCTCATCCCAATTTTAAACTCATGAAGAGCTTTCATTTGAGGACCCACATGCATTTTTGATATATTTTTCATATATACATATATATATATATAT